GTGTGTGTGAGTGTGTGTGAGTGTGTGTGAGTGTGTGTGAGTGTGAGTGTGAGTGAGTGTGTGTGTGTGTGAGTGTGAGTGTGTGAGAGAATCAGTCGCATGCTTAGTCATTTCTGTACCGTTGTTTGAACTCCTGTATGTTTAATCGCTGCATTTTATTCATTTCTTTTCAACTATAATAATTCATTCAGTATGTGAGTATATAAATGTTGATGTATAAAACACGTTTTTGTCTCGGCTTCTTTTCCAAACACACTCCACTGAAGAGTTTATATGTGTGTTTAGAGAATCGATTGCCTTTAACTCTGTTGCTGTTGAAACAAATGATTGAATGAGAAGGTCAGAATTATTTCATATTATATTTCTATTCACTGTAACTCATGGTAAGTGTCCTTCACGTATTCTCTATTCGTTTAGAATATACGAGCATTTAATTTGCTTCTGTAGTCGACTCATGAACGGTGTTGGGGAAAGTTACTTTTAAAAGTAATGTATTACAATATTGCATTACTCCATAAAAAAGTAACTAGTTGCATTACTTTCTAGGGAAAGTAATGCATTACGTTACTTTTGTGTTAGAGTCGCTTCTTTATTTTTAGGAACAAAAAACCCAAAAGGTATAGTTTTGGCAATTATAAAGGCCACCAGAAGTGAAATTAATAAGCCTCAGGCTGAAGGAAGTGCTTCTGTCTCCTCACTCATAATTTCTCGCACGGAGATGGGAGAATAAACGGGAAAACAAAATAACTTGTGTTACTTATTTGAAAAAGTAACTATTATTTTCTTGTAAATTTAAAAGTAACCTAAAATGAAAAAGTAATCTGATTTTGTTACCCCCAACACTGCATATGAACGTGTTTGTGCATTTGATACGCGCATATATATAGTATATTAAGAACAATATTATATGTGCAGAATAAAAAACTACAGATTAATGGAAGAAACTTGTCCATTTCTGAGGAGCTAATAAACATTTTCTATCAATTTGTACAATTCTGTCATTCTGGTATAGATTTTATTTGTGAGTCTCTCCTGAAGTTCAATGTTGTGTGAGCATATTGAAAATAAAGAGATCATGTGTATTTATATTTCAATCTTTAGTGTCTCATACAGTGTTTGAGCTTCCATTACTGATTTTTGCATGATCTTAACTTAAATCATTCTAACATGAACATGCACTCACTGGTTTAGTAGTCCAAACCTGTTCTGACCACTAGAGGACTTCATCTGCTCAGGATGAAACTATAAACCCCTTGAACCCTGATCTCAGAGCTCAAACAAACCTACAGCCACGAGAAACACACACAGAAGCACTTTAATCATTCTGAGTCAGTTTGTTCTCGTTCATCAAAAGTGATGATTCTGTCATCATCGTTCACTCTCCTCATGTTGTTCCAGACCTGTGTGAGCTTCTTTCGTCTGTTGAACACTAAAGAAGATATGCTGAAGAATGTTGGGAACCAAACAGCTGCTGGTAGCCATGTAGTTCCATAGTATTAAAAAAACATTTACTCTGGAAGTCATTGGGGATCAGAAGCTGTTCTTTTGTGTATAAAAGAAGAAAGATTTAACATGAGGGAGAATAAATGATGACTGAATTTGGGTGAACTATCCCTTTAATATGTGAACCACATTTGTACATTAAGTGATTTATTGTATTTATTTATTTCTCTCAGATCCGAACTGAGTCTAATGCCTGAAATGACTGATGTGTTTCAGAAACACGCCTGACCTCTGTGAAAATCCGCTTCCACGTGACTGATGGATTACTTCCTGTCTGGCATCACAGCACTTAATCAAACATCATTACAGCCCTTCATCTGCTGCCTTACAGACACATTAAATCATCCGATCCGACAGAATCAGCCTTACTCTCAAACAGCATTATAATGGTGCTGACAGACAGGGCGTCGAAAATAAAGAAAAAACTAAATCAATCCGCTAATCAACGCAAGGCCTTATTACACAAAAACCTTAAAAACAGAACAAACGAATGGTATATTTCTTTTGTTGGAAAACATACGTGAAAACGTAACAGAATTATAAGATTAAAAAGATCATGACACCTGTTTATTATTATTATTTTAATGTGTGTATTGAAGTTCACTTGCAGAAAAAAAAAAGTTTTTAAGGGGCGGGTCCTTTTCGTTTTGAACGCCCCCTCACTGCTGCATGTTTTTGAAAATATTATACGTATAAAACCATCAGCTACTGACAAACGTTATGAAATCATTTACTTACGGTTTGTGGTGCAGCTGCTGTCAGATCCAGTACAGTTGGGCTGCTTCATCTTTCAATAAAAGTTTCTTTGCAATCTCTCCATTACACTGTGCTTCATTTACTAAACAATCTGCAGTCAAATGCTCCGAACAAACATATAATCCTCTGATGTGATTAATAATAAAGCATAAATTATTCCTGATGCTGGGATCCTTCTGAAGGTGGTACAGAGACGTGAACAAGCTGTTTACACCGGACACGTCAAAGCAAGTGCTCTTCACTGCTCTGTTTGTTCTGCTGTTGATAAACTCGAGTGCGTCACAATCTCAACGCACACCTGTACTCTATCAGTCCAGCGTCAGTGACTAAACAGGTTTAATTGAACTCAGTGTTTAATGGGTTCTGTGTGCATCTGACACGACGTTTGTGTCTGGTACTAGTAGCAGGTGTCAACCGTTAAACGACTGAACGCCAGTGGGCGGGGCTAATAGTACGATAACGTTAAACGATTGGTCTATGTCTTGCTCTGGAGGCGGTCATATGCAAATATGTAATATAACGATTTGGAGTTGCCCAAATTGAATCCCAAATTTCCCCCAGACATTAAAATATCCAAATGATTTGCCTTTAGTAACCCTTTGCAAAAATCAATAATTATTTTTGAATTTTTTTGGGAAAAGTGTGTGAAAAATTGGGTTTTATGGTCGGTCACAATTGTGAGCGGTGGGATAATGTGTACACTGAATTAACATATTTCTGCACTCATAAAAACTTCTATATATCTCAGCTCAGCTATTTTAAACTCTGTTTGATCACATTCTAGGGTTACTATTATGCATAAAAACCCTTGAACAACACTGATAGGAATACTGAGATAAAAGACTAAAAAATACAACCATTAACGTATTTCGAAATTGTTACTTTATGGTAACATATATCATAAAATTGTTATACTAGTGCTACCAGTATTGCAACATTAATATTGTAACTTGAATTTAGTGCAATATTCATTGCAGCATTTTAGTGCAGCCTTCATTAATAACTGCAACTGGATTTATATGTTTATTTACCTACATGGACTGTATTATCCCACCGGTCACTATTGTTGCCATCAACATGTTTACTCATATTTGACTACTCTCAGCAAACCGTAATAATTTTGAATTCATATATTAATACTAGACACCTTGAAGATAACATGTACCAAAAATCTCTGTCATGTCTTTATGTTAACATACTTTACTAGCCTTTTGTTTTGGAGCTTTGATGCAGCCATCATCTTCTCAAGGTGCAAACAGGAAGTAAACTGCTTTGATCATGTGACAAGTTTAACTATCCATGTGACACTGCACAGATTTAATTGAGAACCTTTACTTTTTCCATATTTGCAGGAAATGCACTAGTAACATTATAAATGAAAACCTTCTTTACGGTCACTATTGTGAAGGGTGGAATTAAATGGGTTAAATAAATACAGTTTACCTACAGGATGTTGTAATGGTACAAAAACCTTTTATATGTCAAAAGCTGAAGGAAGAGAGTTAATCGAGTTCTTTTGAGAACCTTTACTTTTTCCATATTTGCAGGAAATGCACTAGTAACATTATAAATGAAAACCTTCTTTACGGTCACTATTGTGAAGGGTGGAATTAAATGGGTTAAATAAATACAGTTTACCTGCAGGATGTTGTAATGGTACAAAAACCTTTTATATGTCAAAAGCTGAAGGAAGAGAGTTAATCGAGTTCTCTTGTTGTGACCCCTTTGTTTTACCGGTCAAGCGGCATCAGATGAAAGGCTCATGCCAGTGTTAATGCAAAACATGCTTCTGAAACAAACTAACAATAAAGGTCAGAAAAGCCAGCCGGCAGGACAGATGCAGTCCAGCAGTTTCACAGATGAGAGTTTCTCTGACTTCATGACGTTTCTGTGGAGGAAATGAAAGCAAGCGCTGATCTGCTTTAGATGCGCTGGTTTTAATGTGCTCTGACCTGGAAGCAGGAAGGTCATGGATTAGTTACCCATGATCCTCTGGTTCCTCCCACGCGCTCATGTCAGAGCCGTAAGTGGGTCACGTTTGGTCATCTGTGGTACGAGCTTCAGAAATGAAACGCTGAGGAGCTTCATCTGAGCACCGCTGCTGATCAACAAAAACTGTGATTTACACATTATTCAGTCCGTTCTGATCATTATTTCTCAGCAGGGTTGCCATAAAAAAACATTTTGTTATTTACAATGTTGGGAAGGTTACTTTGGAAATGTAACAGGTTACAGATTACAAGTTAACCTATTTAAAACGTAATAAGTAGTGTAACTATTTCAATTACTTTATTAAA